AGGAAATGAAAGATCACCATGTCTGTGTTGTGGCCATTTAAATCATGAAGATGTAAATGAATCTCAAACGTATCTTCTTAGCTCTAAGTTATCTCCTGGGTAACTTGTAAATTATTTGACTCTGTATGTATGGCCCATCTATATGACTCTTACATATGTAAAATGAATTTAGACAGGCAACGTATGTCACTTAGCTAACTGGTCTCCTTTTTACTTGGCTTTTCTCCATTTTTTATTTAATAGGAAAATTGCTCTCCCACTGAATCTTAATTCACAATGTTAAGACTTCAGAAATACAGTTTTATATTCAGAAAGAATTTCAATCTTCCTGCTGTCAAACATACTCTCATCTAACATGGACACTTACTGTGGTCAGGATGTCAGTTTAACTTTGACACAGCCCCCGTAGATGGAACTTTCAATTTTTTTATTCTTAGGTAATATGGATAGGTAGGAGGATGTTTGAGGTTTTCTCCCTCTTTGTTTTCATGGAAACACATACTCTACCATAAGACTGGATGACAGTAATATAGTTGTAAAGCACTCTAAGCTTTTGAGAGTGAAAAGTTTCTGTACTGCTCAAAACCTACTATTAACTGCCTCCAGATGGCCTCCCTTGCCTCCCCCACCCCTCCTCCTGCCGGGTTGTTGTTATCTCTGAATGCTATGATGTTCTTAATAGTCTGCAGGGCACAAGAACCTTTGTTCCCACCAGGAAATGTTTTTTTCCACTTTCTTTTGGTGAAGCACCACGTGGCTTTTAGATGTAGTAAGATATGACAACAAATCCATTGTTCTTTGCTCTTTAGGTCATGTTAGTGCCTGATCATTACTAGGATGTGAGTTTTTAGATTTCTGTTCAGGAGTAGGTGTGAACTGAAATATTTTCAAGACTCTCGTAATAGCTAGCTGTGCTGCATAACAAATGATTTCAAAATGAAGTGGCTTAACACAATTGACATGTATTATCTCACACAGTTTTGGGGTGGAATTGGAGAGGCTTAGCTGGGTGGTTTTGGCTGAGGGCCTCTCATGAGGGAAGACCAAGGTATTGGCCTGGGGCTGCAGGTCTCTGAAGGCTGGGCTGGGGTTTCCAAGATGGCTCACTCACACAGCAATTGGCTGGAGGCCTACATTTCTTCCCATGTGGATCTCTGCTTGAATGTACCTAACAGCACTGGCTTCCTCCAGTGTGAGTGGTCAAAGAGGGAGACCAAGGAAGAAGCTGAAATGCCTCTTACAGCCAAGTCTCAGACGTCATATACTGCTACTTTTGCCATATTCTCTTTATTGGAAATGAATCAGTAGTCTAGCCCATACTCAGAGAGAAGAGAATTAAGCTCAATCTCTTGAAGGGAAGTATATCAAATTTGTGGACATACTTTAAACCACTACTTTTGATTTCTCCCCTTTGTTACAGGGTGTTTGCAAAAAACAAACTTAAGTCAGAGGTTCGTGGTCAGCAAATGGACAGATGAATACTGCTTCCTCAATCTTGGGGTAAGTCATACAGAATTTCAGCCTTCCAACCTAACCAAAGATGTGCTCCACCAAAATTCTAAAAGGATGGAGTGGAGATTGGGTCTAAAAGAGCCATACTTTTTTCTTCCAGCTTTTCAAATAATACTGTTTTCTATGTCCCTTGTGAACATGCAGCGGCCAGGAGGTAGCTCTTCCCAGGGTATTCACTGAGTGGGACACCAATAAGGATGGGTGTGAACAGGGATAGATATATTTGCATTTGGTTGTGCTTGCCTGAGCTAATAGGTCAGATACAGGCAGCAGATGGTAAGACCTGAGTAAGGAGTTAGCGGGTTCTGTTCCGCTACTGATTGGCAAAGATCAGCCACAGATGGTGAGAGTGAGACTATGAGTAGAACAGACTCTTGGGATCAAGCAAGCGCAAAAGCCTCCTGCTGAAATTATCCGCAGCACCACTGAGAGAGGTGCAGAATCCATGGGAGGAATTCTAGGCTTGGATCTCAAAAACAGAAACCATGGTGGTTCTGGCTTTTATGGCAGGATGTGAGGAAAGGAGCACTTGGTACCAGATGGAGAGGTTGCAAGAACAGAGCGTGACTGTCAGACCACAGAGTGAAGCATCGTGCCATAAAGACAGATGGTAAGAGGGCTTGCCCCCGTCTGTGGTGGCTTACTGCCTTTTTAGTACTTATCCTGCCTGTGTACCCTTCACACAGGGCCTCTTCGAGAGCTTCTACTTACAAAGCATTTTAATTTAGAAGTCAAATGTAAGTGGTCCAAGCTTTAGTCCAGGCTGAACACTTCATAGCTTTTCTTTTTTCTCCAATTTAGAGACACCTGGGCTTCTGAAACACTAATAAGGGAATCATAGAATAGTATAATTTATGAAGTTGGGCAAAAGAAGATGCCATATACAGACAAAGTAGAGTGAAGTTTTCTTTCCAGTACATTCCTGCCATTAATATACCAGTGCAAGAACAGAGAAGGTGGAAAACATAGAAAACAGCAATTTATACTTCTAGATACAGATCGACTATACACATCATTACCCTACTAAAGAAATTTAGTTGTTCTCCTGGTACTACCTATAGATGCAGGTGGGAGAGGCCTTCCTTTAAGGGGTTCTGCCCTGGCCCCTCTCCAGCTGCACTCCTACCTACTGAACAGGAGATCATCAGGTGGGAAAAAAAAAGTGTGCCTGTCTGGAGCTGACTTGACCCCTTTAGACCTTGCTCCAGGTACACAGAAGCCAGAATTCTTTGCCCAGATGGCCGTGAGCCTGCATCCAGGGTCAATATGGACTTCTCCCCAAGATCCTGAAATATTACTCTTGGACCTGTGGAACAGCCAAGAACTGACAGTTTTATAGAGGCAAAAGTGGGAACAAAGTTTGGGCATGTGGGTTGGAGTGCCCAGGGAATGTGGAGTACCTTGCTGTGTGGGGCTGAACTGCTTGTAGGAAACAAAGCGGGCAAAATTGCTCTTGTGGGGACAAGCTCTCCCTGTTCCAGCAGGAAACACTGAGAAGTCCCAGAATTCTAAGTGCAAACCTGGTCTTCCAATTTTTTAATTTCATATATTTTTGGCTTTATAACTTTTACATATTTAGACATTTGACATGTGGGTCTCCACATGTAGCCTTTTTGTAGGTTCTGCAAACATTATGGTTGGTCCTGTTTCCTCATTTAATACAGAAGCAAGTTGAATCAGCTCGCCTGGTTTTTTAAGGCCTTTTACTACTGGCTCCTCTCTAATCTTTCCTCCCACTGCTCTTCTTCAGAAATTTCCCATCCACCAAACTGATTTACCCGTAGCCAGACTCTGCTCACATCGTTTTCTCTGGGCTCAGGTTCACTCTATTTTTCTCTGAAAGGCCTCCATTTCTGTCCTGCATTTGAATAGGCCAAGCTACTGTTTTAAGACCCAGCCTGAGTTGTGTCTCCTCCCTCTGGACTCTTCTAATAGCTTTTGTCTGAGCCACTTATTGGCACTCAAAGTGTACAATGGTGTGAAGTCATTTTTCTTATTATGCACAATGTGTGGCTATAAGATAAGGAGACATCAATATGCAATAGTTTTCAAACCAGGAAAGCAGATTAAAAAAAAAAAGAAGTCAAAAGAATAGCTAGAGAGTCAAGAGAATGTGGTTCATCAGTACCAAAGGAGGAGATGGTCAGCATTGTCTAAAGGCTGCAGAGAGGTCATTGAGAAAGATGTCCCCAAATAGGCCATTTGTCCATTAGGAAAGAGGTCTTTTGTGATCATTGAAAGAATAGCAGATTGTATGGGCAAAAGCAACATTGTAGTGGGGAAAAATAGAGATGAGAAAGTAGAGATAGCAAATATACTTTAATGTTTCTCAAAAAGTATGATTCTGAAAAGAAAGGAGGTTTAGTAGCTTGAGAGGGTGGTTTTGTTCTGTTCAAAAAATGGAGGAGCTCGAGTGTGTTTGTGGAGAAACGTGTAGATTAGAGGGGGAAAGCTGATGAGGAAAGAAAAGATAGTTAATTAAACAAAATCTGGGAATGGCTGAGATCCAGAGTGCACAGGTGCTGGGGTTAACCTTGATGAGAAGAAAGGGCATTTCTTGCTGCTGTAGGTAAAGCAATGAGGAGGGGACCTTGAAAGAAGCCTACAGAACAGGCCTAACAACGAAGAGATTGGATTTAAGGGCGTGGCTGTCATTGTAGAGGACAGGCTAGGAGAGCCAGAATTTTCAGGGGTGGATCAGATTCCATTATTTTAATATCACATTCTTCATTCATTCCTTTCACATTTATTCAGTGTCCTGTGTGTGCCAGACACTGGGGTCTACAGAGTCACGACTTTTCATGTAATCTGCTATATTGGTGACTCAAGTAAGATTTACTTTTTACTTTTCTAGAAGGTTTTAAGTAGAAATAAATGCACGAATCAGAAGAGAGTTCTTTGTAAAACCAGATGTCCTGCGCCGGGGTTTGGAAAACACGGACATCTCAAAAAGGGCACCATGTTTGAGGTGAAAGGGAAGAGAGGTCGAGAAGTGGAAAAGGTAGTGTAGACCGGGTAATCCACGAAGGTGCGCCTTCGACTAGGAAGACGCGAACCTTTGCGCACTTCAGGCAGCGCTGTAACCAAGGGTAACAGAGCCTCTGCCTACACAGGTGTGAAGACCAGCTTCTTCCCTAAATCAGGTGTATCTGCGAAGGCTGTGCAGGTCCAGATACAAGCCAAACTCGCTATGCCTGTTACTTTCCCGCGAAGGTCCACCGCCTCTAACTACCTAAGGTCAGTAGTACCTTTGCCCCTAGTTTATTGGTGAGGGGCGGAGGAGGGAAGGAAGCGGTGGGCGGGGCGAATCACCTTTCCTATTTTACAATTGGCCATAATAGGGTCTGAGTCGTACCTCCTACGCTGCCGCCGACAGGCTCTGGGCGCTGTCACTCGAGCCGCCGCTACCGCCCCTCGCCGTGGCCCCGCCCCTCGCCGTGGCAGGGATCTCGCGGGAAGAGCTGCGGGCACGGCTGTGGCTGGGTCTTGCCTGCACGGGGAGCGGGAGGGTTCTACTCACACAAGCGCTTCCTCGCGGAGAGGTTGGAGCTGCAGCAGCCGCAGGCCTGGGCCACTGCTTCTCTGTCGTCTCCTCTTCCTCAGGGCTTCCTGGTCCGCTCGCCCTCCGACGCTGCCCAGGTAAGATAGCCCTGAGCATGTCTCTGCCGCGGAGCGGGGACACTGAGCAGCCGGGGCAGGCGGGCTCCCGACGGGGGCGGCTCCGGGGGCGGCTCCTGGGGCAGCGTGGCGCTGCCTGGTGGGCGCAAGGCTTTGGCTGGGTTCGGCAGTGCGGAGAGTGAGGAGGCGGTGTGGTGGGATCGGTTGCAGGCGCCCAAGGGCGGTGTAGCGGGTGCCAGGGCTCCTCAGGGTGAGGGGGCGGTTCATTGGGGGTCCTAGAGCTCTTCTGGCTTGGAGTGGGGGGGCGGTGGCAGAGAGGGTGCGGGGTCTTCGGGGTAGAGTGAGATTTATCAGAGTCCTGAGGTTCCTTGAGGTGGTGTAGCGGGGTTCTGGGACAAGGGGTTCCTTTATCAGGGTCTTAGGCTCTTCGGGGCAAAAGATTCAGTTTAGCAAGGTGCTAGGTCTGTGAAGGGGCAGATCGTTGGGGTATGGAGGGGTCCTTTGAGCGGGAGTGGGTGCCTGTTCCGCATTCCTGGGAGGAAGCAGCAGTTTATTAGGGCTCCGGGGAAAGGGGTCTGTGTATCTGGATCTCGGGGCTAGAGTGCGATGTTTCTGCGTCCTGCAGGGGCCGGGCCGCCTTGGTGTGTTGCTGGGGGCGAAAGGGTGTACCGCAGAGATCAACGTCTTTACCGGGGTTTTTGCTTTGCCCAGAGGGGGGCGGTAACTTGGCATGGTCTTGAGTCTTTTCGGGGGAGACAGGGCGAGTTAGTGGGTCCCCGAGTGATCTTGAATGGAGGGTGCGGCTCAGCAGGCGCTGGAGTGGCTCTCAGCGAGAGGGGACTTTAAGTGGCATCCTGAGTCGGCCCAGTAGACAGTGTGTGGCTGGTCAGCATCCTGGAAAAGGTCTTTCTTTCCAGATGAGAATGTTCTCAATGCTTAGTTGTGGTCCGTTTTGTTGCCTAGTTGGAAAACAGTGGGTTTGTTTTGCAGTTTTCTTTTCTCTGTCCCAGGATCCCTGTGGGGCGTGCTGGTCTCGCTGCTCTGGGAACAAGAGCGGCAACACCTTAGGTTGGGGTGTAGACTGTAGGTTCTTTAGGAGGCGAGTGTCCTCAGGTTGGGTGTGGAAGCCGCTAAGGATGGGGAAGAATGTCTAGTTTTGGTGGTTTTGGCTTCCTTTCCTTAGGTGGTCTGCTTTGCTGATACTGCATTATTCGATCTGTACGCAAGTCTTCCCTGAATGTTAGGCAGAGGCAGGTCGTGCTGGGAGGTGTGTTCTGCATTTTCTCTCTCTCCTTTGAAAAACATTTGTGAAGAGGGATAGCTTCAAGCGTAGCCTCCAAGTAACGTACTGGAATTTGAGGTCCTTAAGCTAGAACTTGGCAACAGCATCATTTGAGACCTGTAAGGGTGACCAGCAGAGTTCTTGTAGAGAATCTTGCTTACCAATTTTATTGTAAAGGTACAGTTAGTGGTGAAACTTATGCAGAGGTCTTGGTAACTAACCCAGATTAAGGTGACATTAAAATAAAATTTTAATGTGTGTATGTGTATGAGGTTTAAAAAAATCTATAGGTCAGAAAGTTTGTGCATTTGTCTGGCTTTTTATGATAGAGGCCTGTAAATGAAGTCTAATGTGGCAGGAAGTGAAACCTGTACTAACAGTAATTCTGTAATTTTAGGTAAATAGACAAATTTGAGTATTTCAAAGCAAAGACTTTTGCCTATCTTAGTCTTTTTCTTTTGGTCGTAGGACCAGAAATGCTAAGGATAATATACTTACCTTGAATCTTGCAATCATTTTAAAAAACAGTGGAATCTTACACAGCAATATTAAATATTTGCAGAGATTAAGTTGTTTTTTGTTGTTACTGCTGTAATTCAAACCAAAATACCTGATTGACTTTTATAGCTATTGAAACTGATGTTGAAACAGATATTTGTATAAAACTGTGGCCAAAAACAACAACAACAACAACAAAACACACAAAAAAACCCAAAACATAAGCAAACTCCCTTCACTTTTGAAAGACAAATGAGAAATTAAGCAGATTTCAATACCTTTTTTTAAAGCAGCTTTTTTAACTTTCAAGTAAACATACATTTAAGTTAACAAATATTTGATTATCTCCTAGGTTTCAAGCACTGGAGGTACAATGATTCCAGTTCTCATGTAATCTACATGGAGAGAGAGAAAGACAACAAATAAATACACAAATAAAATAATTGAGATGCTGATGGGGAAGAAATAAACAGCGTATTTGGGGCTAAGCTCACACCCCTGAATGCAAATATAACTGATGTCTATTGTGGTAACTAGAAACCAAGCAAGGTAATGATCTGCCTTCTGAATCACTAAAGAAGTATTAAATTATGATAAGTAGAGTTTGGGTGTTGAATATGTATTGTCTCTTTGAGGGTTAGCACCTTTCGTTGTGTAAGCATATAAAAGTCTATAAGGACACACATCAAATTTATCAGTTTTGGGTTTTTTTTAAAGAGAAAATTGCAAAGGCACAAGACAGCTATTAATTTTGTGTTTTTATATTTTTAAATCTATTTCAGTGAGCAGACATTATTATTTAAGTGTAACTTAGAGAAGTCAAAAACTTAAAACATTTTGGTCACTGAATTTGTGAAAAGTACAGTATCAGGCTTCATGTCAGTGTTGCCACTTCTACTTGTGTGTACTAGTGGAGGAAAAACACATATTTCAGGATCCCAAAATTACGGGGGTGGGGTGGGGAGCACAACAAAATAAGAAAAAGACTGAGACCTAAGTAAAATGTTAAAACATGTTCAAGATATTGGAAATTTAATTATATAAAGATAAATTGATATTTGACCTTCCTTCTTTCAAATTTAATTGTGTCCTAAGTTTGGCAATTCCCCACAGAAGAATAGGGTATGGTTATATGGCAGAAGAGGAAGTGTTCTTATTGTAGTACAGACATCAAGAAGAGAGTTCTTTTTGTGAAACAGAAGCAGATCTAATGTTTTTCTTGTGAGGTATATGAAACATAAAAATAGTTTTATAGTTCATTATTACACTGCTGAAAATTACAATACCAGAGTGTCTTTTGGATTATCATTCAACATTCTACAATCATAAATATGATATACTGAGGCAGTTTCTAGAAAGGAAATCATAAGACATGAATTCTGTTCTTCACTGTGCAACTAACCATATGACCTTAGGTAATTCCTTAGTCTCTTAGGTCTCAGTTTCTGCATATGTAAAATTAAAGCAAAAGAAGTCTCTGTAATTAGTCAGTATAAATTCCAATTCCAAGGATTCTGTTGCACTGGTTTTTATGTTGCAGATTTACCATATTCTATGTACAAAAAGAGATAGGTGCCATAAGAGTAGCTAGTTCTCAAGATAAAACTAGTTCCATGTAATTTTTACGTATCATACCGAATTTTAGAAGCCTCCTCATTTTTAAGATATGTAGGAAATACTTAATTCTAGAATATTCATTCATAAGAGCAAATAATTTCCTTACGATAATTTAGCTTTATCTGTTAAAGCATTATTGTTTTTATCTTTGATTCCTGGTTCTCTAGTAGAATATCTGTAAGATAATCTAATATCCTTATTTAAGTCTGACTGTAGAATGAGGTCTCTAGTGGTTGACCCCCTTTAATCCATCCTTTACCCTACTGCCAAGCTGATTTTTCTAAAATGCAAGTCTGTCCAGTGCCTCTTTCTTTCTTTTTTTTTATTGTTCAAATACATTTGTCTCCATTTTCCCATCACCACTTTCCCCTGCCCCACCCACCTCCGCCTCCCTCCCTCAATCCTACCCCACCTCTTGCCTCTTTCTTAAAACCCATGCTTCTTCCTTACCTACAGTATTTAGTCCAAACTATTTATCATTACAAGGCCCTTCATCATCTGAGATCATCTCTTGCCATTCCCCCACCATAAACCTCAAGCTCAACTGTACTAAGAAAATCAGTTCACTGAAAGAGCCATACTGTATCCCCATTTGGAGTCTTTGCATGTATTCTCCTTGATGCTTAGAATGTTATTCCTTCTCCTGTCTTACTGACAAGGGTGACTGATTTTATTAGATACATCGTAAGCACTATCAGCTTTTAAAGTCTTCTGTGTCTTCTGGTCCTCCCTCCTCCCACTCCACAAGGTTATTCACTCTCTATGCCTTGTTCATTCATTCTCTTATGTTTCTTAGTCTGCTATAAGTGTTTGTCTGTCGCCTCCTGGACTGAAAGGCTGGTTTATATTTGTCTTACTACTTTTTAAATCTCTATTCCTTATTTTACACTGTTAGCACTCATTACATGTTTGAAACTCTCAGTGCCAAGATTAATGTCTTCATAATATCTGAGATAAGCCCAAATCTCAGTCTTGTTCTATTATTCTAAAGCTTGGGTCCTTCTAAATTATCTTAATCTTTTGCCTCAGTGACCTGAAACTGATAGTAGATCTGTAGTTTTTATCCTCATTTAAGTTGTGAGATTCCCCAGCACTATAGAAGTTAAGAGTACTCTGTTAAACTTGCAGAAAAGTCTTGCAGAATAGTGAGGCAACCACTAATCTCTATATCTAAAATTGCTAAGAGAATTATAAACTAATTTGGGTCTTTCAGATCTTTGATATCCAATATTTGGTAGATATTTTGCCTTGGATAGTTTCTGTAGGGGAAATTATTGTTGCCAATATGTGTTGGTTTTTATATTCGCTTAATAATTGCTTTATATACATTGCCTTTAGTTTTCAAAACAAGTCCTGTAGATTAAATAAGTTACTGGGGGACATTATCTACTAAGAAACAGGCTCTGACTACATCCAGTTCTGTCTTACTCCAGATGCTATGATTTTTGAAATTATTACACTGCTTCCTGAGTATGACTACTTATTTAAAGTATTCAAAAATTATTATAGATACTGTACTCGTTTTATAAATCAAAGAAGAAGGTTGCAAGGTTTGTTCATTCAGATTTTTCATAAAAAACTAAAATAGAGAATTTGATGTTGGACTTTAGGGACTATTTAATCCAACTCCCTCATTTAGCATATAAGGGAACTTACATGGGAAAGAGATGTTGAATGACTGGCTCAAGATCACACAGCCAGTTGGTTAAGAGTTGTTAGTTGTGAACACTGGTGTTATAAAACCATTATTTGAAAGGAATACCAGATGCCAGATTCCCACACCCCCCACCCCCAAATCAAAAAAAGCTTAGAGTAGGTGTTAGGAAAATGATGTTGAGGATTTCAGTGTCTTAAGGACATGGCTCAGAGATCATCCTGACTTTGGATAATGACACATAGAGACACCTCAGTACCTTTACCTCGTGTATTGGGTTGGCCAAAAAGTCCATTATGGGTTTGTTTTTTTTTCATTTGATGACTCTAGTAGTGCTTAGCTGTCTTTAACTTCATTCAAAACAATTTTGTTAGATTATATTGTGACAGCTGTCATATCAATGTGCATTAAAAACAATTATCAAAATTGGTGAATTTTTGTGCAGCCATATTGGAGATAGAAGAAAATATGCAACATTTTTGGCGTATTATGCTTTATTATTTCAAGAAAGGTAAAAATGCAACCGAAACAAAAAAAGATTTCTGCAGCATATAGGGAAGGTGCTGTGACTGATCGAACATGTCAGAAGTGGTTTGTGAAGTTTCTTGATAGTATTGACATTTTGGCCAAATAATTCTTTGCTGTGGGGCTGTCTTATCCACTGGAAGATGTTTAGCAGCACCCCTGGCCTCTACCTACTAGAAGCCAATAGTGGGAGATAGCTGACATACTCAAAATATCCAAATCAATAAAGTTATTGGTGAAAATGAAAAATGGGTCTTTTACTTTATGGAAAAACTGGACTTTTTGGCCAACACAATAGCTCCCTAGCCTTGGTTTCATTCCCTCCTTTTTTATTTTTAAAAATCTATTCAAGGTTTACTAATCTTTTGCCTGATGTTACTATTAGCCTTGGCCTTTACCAGTAACCATTTAAGTGCCAACCATGTGCCAAGTACTAGGGATACAAAAAAGCATAAAATCTAGTCACTACCCTGAAGAGGTTTGGTTTATTTGGGATTGGGAGGCAGTATACACAGGGGTTGGCAAAAGCAGGTTTACAGTTATGAGTATGCAAAACCCAGAGTTCATTCTGGTATTATTTAATTAATTATTGTATTGCAAACAACTGTAAACCTACTTTTGTCCACTCCTGTATTTAATTGCAAGGTAGTATATAAAGATGCCATGAATAATACAGCTCTAGAAACAGAGATGAGAAGTACAGAGTGGCTAGTTGTTACAGAAGTTTCTGCGTATAAAAGGTTTATCGTAAATTAGCCTTTAAATGAAGAGTTGGAGTGGTGTGGAGGGCAAGACTGGGGGAAAGAACCTCTAGCTATTGTTTCTTTTTTTTTAATCTTACTCTTGCTCACTTCCCTTCAGTCACAGTAACCTCCTTGCTTTTTCAGAAGGTCTAAAACGTGTTCTTCCAGATATCCATATGTCCCCTTCCCTACTTCCTTCAGGTCTTTTTTGTTTGTTGCTTTTTTTAATCCTCACCCAAGGATATGTTTATTGATTTTAGAGAGAGAGGAAGGGAAAGAGAGAAACATTGATATGAGAGAGAAACATCAATCTATCTATTGCACACGTACTCTTCATATTTCTCTTCCCTGCTTTGTTTCTTTTTTGTGCCTTTTTGCTGTCCAACATACTCTGTTTTTATTGCCTTTTTATCCCTGGTATAACATAAGATCCATGAGGGCAGGTGTTTTTACACATTTCATTCAGTGCTTATATACACAGTACCCAGAACAGTACCTGCTACAAAGTAGGTGCTCAAATTTTTGTTGAATGAATATGACAATTGAACTTTAAAACAGAATGTGAAGATCATTTGATCTAACCTTGCCTTCCTTCGTCCCTCCCTCCCTCCCTCCTTGCTGGCATAGAGGAGGAGGAGGAGCTTTGTCTTCCATGTTTGGTTTTTTTTTTAACTTTATAGGACTTTGAAAAGTTAGAAACAGCAGTCATGAACAACTCCATGAATTTCTACATATGTAAACATATAATCAGCAACCAGATCAAGATATAGAATACTTATAGGACCTTAGAAGACTTTCTCACACTCTCTCCTACTTTCCAAAGGTAAACACTATTCTGACTTCCATCGTAGTAGGTTAGTTTTGCTTATTCCTGAACTTCATATAAATGGAATCAAATCCTTTGTTTTATATCTGGTTTCCTTTGTTCAACCTTTTGTCTGTGAGATTCATGTTTTTAGAGTTAGCAATAATTTATTATTTTTTATTGTGTAATATTCCATTTTATGAGT